TAATTAATTTCAGGTTATCTAGTGCCATCTTCTGATATTCTCCAATGCTCCATGCAAATGCTCTTGGAGAAATACTGCAATGTGCAAGTAAGTTGTCCGCTGAGTGTGCCTGATGTCGTGGTTGGTACTACCAAGCTCAGGCTTCATAGTCATATCAATCTGATGGTTTTGTTTGAACTTACCTCCATGTAGCTATATAAAGTCTCTAGATTTGTGTCATGTGCAAAATACAGTATGATCCACAGCAAAAATAAGGAGTGGGCATTGAAACAAAAATAAAATGCAAGGCAATAAGACTGCATCCATGGAAAAAATTGACAGTGCGCAGAACAATATTTTATTCCAAATATCTACTCCATGTTCACCTGGCTCATCCTTCATGAAAGTAAATGGAGGATCTTTAGCCTCTGCCACATGAGTTATGGCAAATAAACTTTCAATATGTCTGCCTCTATGTTACATTTATTAGGATTTGACCAAACTACTAAAATAACGTCATTGATGCATGTAATTAAAATAATGTAATTATTGTATTATTAAAATACTGAAATAATGTAATTAGTGTACTCTCCCATGCAGACACATTTCTTAAATATCTAAAGTCCATTCAAATTATGTTGAAGTCTTTATTTACATCCTTAACAAATGCTTTGCTTCTTAGAATCACAAGACCATACAGTGCATTACATGCTTGATATTGCTATTCCTCAATGGTAGAAAGAACAACATTTTGCAAACGGCAATATAATTAACTAGATCTCTGACACGTCCGTGTCTTGGTCTTCTTCCTCATTGCAGACCAAGAGAAGAAAAGCAAGTTTTCAGCAAGATGGTGTTCATAGCTTTTTCAGCAGATACAAGAAGATTTAACAAAGGGATTTAAAGTTTTAACTACATAAATATAAAGAGTGGTTTAACTGTGTATTTATAACCATACATGATTTGTTATACAATAATTTGTTAAGGTTGCACTTTTGATGTTAATTCTTGCTTAACTACAAAAAAGACAGCATAGTATAAAATATTGCTTGCGGTTTACTTAGGCGCACATTGTGTTTATAAGATTTTAATGTGCACTATATTTCACATAACTCATTGTGTATACATAGTACATTTCCTTATGTAACAGCATCTTTATATTAAACAAGGTCATTCATGGTTACTTAAAGTGTATTTCTCTAATGAATCAATGTATACATTTTATTTTATCTGAAAGTCTAAACATGTTTTAGAGATTAATTACACACTTTCAATGCTTTTGATTTCAAACAATTTTCAAATCGTTTATCTGTTAAAAAGGCATCTGCTTTTCATCTTGGTTTCCTTTCCACCATAGATCTGACACCAGTAAAGAAAAAAAAATGAAATGCATTCTTTATTTTGTTGCTGTCTTCAATCTACTTCAGTTTCATTCTTTCGCTGAATTCAGCACTGAGCTGGTCAGCACTGCCTGCTGCAAAATGCCTTGCTCTTGCTGTGTACTCCATAGCTTTCTTCTCCTCTTTATCCTCGGTGCACAAAAACGCCAGAATTTCAAAGGCCTCACTGACCTTCTCCTTGCATTTGAGCTGCCTTTCTGCAATTTGTTTCAGCTTTTTGCCAGCCTGCCTTCTGTCTGATGTCTGCATTCGGAACTGATATGCGGCTTTGAACTGGTTTATTGCGCCAGGCTCTGATTTTTTCTTGTACATCAGAAACAACCCATAGCTGGTGTGACAGTGCTGCCTGTCAGAGTTGCAGAGACTCTGGTCTTCCAGCAAGCTAACATAGACTTTTTCTGCATCTTCTATTTGACGGTTCTCTCCATAGGCCTCTGCCAGGTTAATATTAGCATGTATATTGGAAGGCTTCAGTTCTACTGCTCTTTTGAAGTACTGGATGCACTCCACGGCCTTGGCTCTTTTTTCAGTCACAGGGATGCGTTTTGCACCTTTCTGGGCTTGAAACATGAGAGCGAGCTGCTGTTTGTAACAAAGGCCAATCTGGTGATGCAGAAAGGATGAATGGGGGGCCAGCTCTATTGCCTTTTTAAGGATTGCTAGGGACTGGTCAATGCATCCTTCTGCTCTGAAATACTTTGCCACGTACCTTGTAATCTGAGGCACATCAGGAGTCAGCCTGAGAGCTTGTTTGATGAGTTTCCAAGAATCTTCTTTCTTGACGTGTTGAAGCTTAAGGGCCAAGAGCACCATGGCCTCCGAATCACAAGGCTCTAATTGTAAGACCTTTTTTAACTGACGCACTGCATCACTTGTCTCTGGATTCACTCTTTTCCCCATCATTCCCTCAAGTCTATAGAGAACGACTGCATACCCCATGTTAAATGACACATTCTCTGGATCGCCATGCAGAGCTTTTTGGAAACTTTCTTTAGAGCTTTGATAGAATCTGGACCCAAGTTTTAGAAATGTCCAACCCTTTTCTCCATAAACTCTGGGCACATTGGCTGAATACTTTGATGACTGTGGGATACCCTTGCATATGTTTTCCAGTTTGCCAAAATAAGTGCTGACTTCAGTTAGTTTGCCAATGTGGTAGTATATCCAGGCAAAGTTAGCATAAGTAACCAGTAAGTCAGCCTCTGAGAATGACTTCTCCTCCCTTAAAACTCTTTCAGCCTTGTTAAGGAATTCAAGACCAGTTTCACTCTTCCCTGTTGTCTGACTAATGAATGCCAGCACATTAAAGAAAGTGGGATGATACCGACGGTGACAGAATTTTATTCTGTCCAAGAGCTTTTCCGGGATGTTATCCAGATCTTTCACATCGCCTTTCTCTATTCCCCATGTGAAGTGGCACTCAAGTGTCTTCAGTGTGACTTCCAGTTCTTGGTTCTGTGGGGCACTGGAAGAGAAAAAGAAACTTTAATACCACCATATCAGATTGCAGGACAAAACGTTTGCTGATGAAAAGGTTTGCTCAATTTACATATTATTTTGTACATATTAAATGCAACAAGATAGTTATATACTCAATTATTTATTAAACCACATATTTAGGTAATCATGTTTCTTTTGCATGTTAACCTATCTGCCTGAGGTAGTCTGTAAAGACTGGTATTGACCTACAGTAGGTATGAAATAATTGATGACTGCAATTTTATATACAGTACAGTACATGTGTGTATTTATATGCTGATAATACAGTGTCTCTTAACCTGTTTTAACTAAAATAATCTTTACTTGGATTATTGCAAACTAGTGTTAAAATGCTTATGCTTTCGGGCATTAAGGGATGGCTTTTCTTCAGTGCAATGGTTCACCAATCAACGCTGCCCTGGCTTTTAAAGACATAAAATGCTGCTATTAGCGATAAGAAAATGTAGTGTGTATATTACAAGTGTATTACTAAAAAAGATCATACATACATACCTGATATATATATATAAACAGTATATACTGTATGTTACGGTGTCTAATTTATGACTTTCCACGCTTCATTTCTTGTTAGTCAATAACGCACACTGAAAATGGTAATACTCGGAAAAAGCTTAAAACATCTGGTTATTAGTACAGCAGGATAGTCATATACAATTAGCATAGTGGTGTGCATGAAGTATCATTGTCGGTTATGCTGCTGAAAGAAAACCCAAAATAAACTTTGTAACAAAGGTTTTAGTCAAGTATTCGCTCAACACGAATATTATAATCCATCTCAAATCAGCGCGACTGCGAATGAATAGGGACTGCGCAGTATTAAATGTGAATATTCTGATTGAATTCAGGAAAACGCCAACAATTCTTCGTATTCGCGTCATTCATACGAATGGCATATACTGTATACCTCTATTTACAGAAATTTTCAAAATTAATTAATTTACCTCATAGTGTCGACAAGTGCAGCTTGTGTACTGGCGGTTACCGATTGCTGATTTCCAGCTTCTTACACCCAGAGAAACGAAACAGAAACTCCATCCAGTAGTTTCCATTTCTCAAGTTAATAAACTGTTTCTTTTTCCCAAGCTCGACGTCGTCATAAGAAATTGAAAACACGCCCTATCTCTTGCTTTCTAGCAGGTACTGCGCCCGCTTTAAAGTCCAATGCTTGAAATAAAACAATTATTCAAATCGACGGAGTACTGTATATATTCTTAACTAAATTCATGCTCAAGAAAAATGTGCTCTGGTACGGAATCTCATATAGTAGCGCCCCTAAGTGCGTTGATCTGAGCTGGGCTTTATCACCGGAAGAATGAGTATACGCTGTAGACATGTCTGCACTAACATTTAAAAATACAGTACGTGTACAGTAAATCGCTGTTGCTCATTATTTACATAGTGTATAAACAGAATGTCGACATTATTAATATTGCGGATATAAAAATTTGCTTGCTGAATTATTAAATGTCCCTTGTAAATACAGTGTAATGCCGTGTAACCAAATCAACCAGCCATTTCTTATTTTCGAATGATCAATAAATCGTTGCTTTCAATATCTACTCGTTAAGAGGAACAATCTGAGAGATGGATATAAATTAATTCACAACACATCTTGAACAAAAACGCGTTACACCACAGGAACCACAGGTAACAAAAAGGCGTGATAACGTTGAGCAAAGTTCTCTCTAATGGGCTGAAACGGATGGATTGCAATACAATTTTAAAGAAGTATTCAGATCTACTGTATAAGTGAATACTTGGCGAAATGATCGTGTTGAAAACCTGACATCCATCTAAGTCCTGTGAAATAAATGTATCAGCTCTGTGCAGAATCTCCCTTTGGCATCTCCTGGGTACGTAATGTGTACTAATTTCACAAACGCGATTGCTATAGACTTTACCAATGTTCTTCCTATTGAATTCTGTTGGTATTTATTTTTTTTTTGTGGGGGGGGATATACATTGTCATACATGATTAGTTTTTTGGCTCGTTTCTCGTCTTTTTGGCGCGATGATCATCCAAGCACAGTGTTCTGAATAAAGAAATGAAATGACGGCCCCGGTGCAAGTTTTAATTGAAACACACGTCACCCCTTTACTCGTGAGAAATGGAGCTGAAATTCTCCAGGAGGGCGAAGGTTCCTACAGCTACTGTATAATAATAATAATAATAATAATAATAATAATAATAATAATGTAACGCTTACGGCCGACAGGCACTGTGTAAGAGCCGGCGTACCAGAGCAGGTGACGTCACCGCCCTTCCCTGTGATAGCAGGACTACAGTTACTGGGCTGTAGAGAGATCTCTCTTTAGCTCACGGGGCTGGGTCACTGCAGAGAGACGCGGGAGTCGGGATGGGGCCGACCTAATGCGGCAAGGGCGCCCGCCGGAGCCCCCGTTGCGTTACAATAATAATAATTGCTTACACTTATATAGCGCTTTTCTGGACACCCCACTCAAAGCGCTTTACAGGTAATGGGGACTCCCCTCCACCACCACCACCAATGTGCAGCACCCACCTGGATGGAACATACATTAGGTGTCAGTGAGGCCTGATTCGTTTCCACAGTCACAGAACAACTCTCACTGATATGGCGAAAGCGACAAGACTACTTTTCGATTTAATTTAGAAAACGATTTAATCGTCTACTTGTTCTTTTTGCATAAGACATTTAAATAGAGATGCACATAACAGTAAATGTAAAAATATTTAATATACAATTTTGGGCCTAATTAAATAGCATTGACATAGTGGTTAGGACTGCCACATTACAGCTTTTGTGTCCTGGAATCCAATCCATTCTTCACCGTCGTGCCTTAACACTGTTTACGCGTTTTTCTTGAGGTAGGTTGGAGTATGCTTGATTTTTTGCTTAAGGTAGGTTGGAGTATGCATGATTTTTTGCTTACGGTAGTTTGGAGTTTGCATGTTTATTTCTCCGGCTAGTGTGGTGTTTGCGCGTTTGCATTATTTTTGTCTAGGTAGTGTGTTTACATGTTTGCATGTTTTTCTCCAGGTAATGCGAATGTTTCATGTTTGTTTCTCCAGGTAGTGTAGAGTTTTCATTTTTTTTTTTCTTCAGGTATTCCGGAGTTAGCACGTTTGCATGTTGTTCTCCAGGTAGTGTGAATTTTTCATTTTTTTTTCTTAAGGTAGTGTGGTGTTTACATTTTTTCGGGGTGTATGGAGTTCGCGTCTTTGCATGTTTTTGCTCCAGGTACTCCAATTTTTTTCCACTTCCCAAAGTCTTAATCGATAACTCTAAATTGTACCTGTGTGTGTGCCATGTTCGCTAAAATAGGCTTCAGATTACCGTGATTCTCACCAGGAACTCCGATTCTCACCGGACCAGTTTTCTGATTAAGGAATGTTAATTGGATACAAAAACGGATCTACAGTAGCTTTAAACTTTACATCAACGTAATGTTATTCTTTGACCTCTAGATGGCGCTCTAGATATAAGTCTTTTTAAACGAAAACCTTTTCATCACCAGGTATTGTGATTCCTTGAGAAGCAGGGTTTTTAAAGAAAGCTTTGAGTGGTAATTATGGTGTTTTCGGCACAGAATAGTTGCCTGGGCATCAGGAGGAGGATATCAGAATCCCCCAAATAGGAGGAATAATCTTCAGAGTTGAGAGATGCAAAATAATAAACGAAAAGGAATGTCTCTGACTTGTATTTGGTGTAGAAGAGGTTTATCATTTCTACTTACACCAACTAATTTTATCTTTATAGACTAGTATACCTTTACCAACACATTAAGGTATATTTTAAAATATACTATAGCTGAATATTTGAATGATCTGCTCACTTGGAGCACATATTTATGGTAAGTTTCTTTCTGGAGATCATGCACCTTAGTGTTGAGTGTGCATTGTTCTTTAGGTCTGTGTTTTATATTCTGTAAAATCTTAAAGATTGGGGTTTTCTTTATTCATTAGGTTAACCGAGCTGAAAACACTGTATTTTGATGGCCTTTTTAACTATATTCTTGTTTTCCTTAATTTTAGTCTTTATTTTTTGGAGCTATTTTTAATATTTGGAGCTACAGGACCGGTATTTTGGTATCCTTTTAGTGTTCATGGGACATGAAAGATTTAATGTAGATTAAGATGTGGACTTAATAAAAATATCTTCCTTTCTTAAGTAATTTTAGTGAGTAACAAGTAGAATATGTCCCTTTTAGCAATTTATAATTAGTGATTTGCATTTTTATAAATATCTGTGGAATACAGTATATGAGAAGAAAAGTCTGAAGTGAAACAGTATGGAAAATGTTGTTAGCCTAGATTTGTTTTTATTAATCTAAACTTTCCACAATTTTTGTTTTTCATTTTTTTTATAGTCATGTGTAAAAGCTTTCAACAGAGTAACTGTTTCTGTGAATCTACTACGTGTGTATTATTAGCATTCAGCGCTGATACACAAAAAGAAATAGCCATTGTCTTCTTGACATTATTTAAGTAAGTCCATTTTGAAAGATTTTAATTACATGATTTTGAGATTTGTTTTACTTTGTGTGTTCTTTTTGGAATTGATTAACTCTCCTGTTTTAACGCTACTTTGTTTGGAATGATGGTCACCATACAAAGTCATCCTAATAAATATAAATAAATCGCCTGACTGATATGTAGGTTGAGGATGACATTAATACAAAACGCATATTGACAATAAGAGGATAAAAGCTTGTAATGTATTGTAAAAAATTACAAGATATTCAAATCCTCTTAAATGTGAGGTAATTGGTTAAAGCAGAGAAAATAAACCAGTCATAAATTGTTTCATAATACTAAGGAAACTTTGACCGTAATCTTCAAACTTTCAACTTCAGAACTTTCAACATCTTAAAATAGAATATGGCATTACCAACAGTTAAAAGTTCTTTATCTTACTACCTCTGTTGGTTTCCCTTATCCGAGGGAAAACCCCAGACATGCCCTGTTTCTCATGATGTTCTGTGACGTATAGGAGGGAGGAGGCGTGGTGACTGCATTCACAATAAGAATCCTGTGCTCTGTGCTAACAGAGCCAGATTGCAGCAAAGATGCAGGACACTTTGATTTTGCAGAACGTCTGGGACTTTGTGCGGGCACAGGATGCCTATCTTAAATCTCCTTTCTTTCCAGCCCTGTTTTCCTTCATCGTCTACATGGGATTCTGTCTGCCATTTGTGATTCTGGATATCCTCTCTTCCAAGGCAGCTTTCATCAGAAAATACAAGATTCAGCCAAATACTCAGGTTACATGGGAAATGGCAGGGACCTGCATCATGCAGACTGTGTACAACCACATTGTCTTCATTTTCCCATTGACTGTCTTACACTGGTACTGGAAACCAGTCTTCTACCCTCTGGAGGCTCCTGGGCTGATCAGAGTGATCCTGGACATTGTTGCGTGCCTGCTGCTCTTTGATTTCCAGTACTTTATCTGGCATTTAATTCACCACAAAGTTCCATGGCTGTACAAAACCTTCCACAAGGTGCACCACAAGTATACCTCCACCTTTGCACTGACTGCTGAGCACTCCGGAGCGTGGGAGACCCTTTCCTTGGGTTTTTTTGCTGCTATCAGTCCTATGATGCTGGACTGTCATCCTCTTACTGAGATGCTCTTCTTTGTTGTGAACATATGGCTGTCTGTGGAGGACCACTGTGGCTACGACTTTCCTTGGGCTACGCATAGACTTGTGCCATTTGGACTGTTTGGTGGAGCACCTCATCACGACCTCCATCACTTGAAGTTCAAATCCAACTACGCGCCTTATTTTACACACTGGGACAAGATATTTGGCACCCTGCTTCAAGCCAACGTCAGAAATAACTAATTTTGTCTAAGGTGGAACACCACAACGGACTAACAATAACACTGCCATTTTTCTGCTGGCCAGTAAAAAACATACATTATAATTGTATTAATAACATGTTTGTCTTCTTTTATATTAAAAGGGATATTATGGATATTGATCTGTCATATAAGCTAATTATATTGTTTCCGCTGTGAATTGTCTTAATGTGTTAAATAATCTATTTTAATATTTAAATTAATAAAATAATTTAAATTGAACTGCATTTTTGGTGTCTGTCTGCATATTTAGCTTGGATAAGATCTTTGCATCTGGTGTAAAATATGAAGTCATCAAATGAAGAACAAATTTCATTCATTATAAGTTCTTGAATTGAGCCAAAACTAAGGTAAAGTTTGCACAAAATACAAGTATAGTAACGATATAAATTTATGTTTAATTTAAATTGTTATCATAGTGACATGTTTTCACTGAATGTGATACAAGCAGTTTGGAAATTATGAGGGTAGAAACAAAGCTTTAGAGTGTGTGGCAAAGTCACAGACACCTATGTTATCAACTGATCAAAGACATTCTCAAGTGGAAATGAACCATGACAAAAAGTGATGCACTTTCCTTTTTACTTTCTTTAAGATGGGTTATACAATCATTTGGAAAAACATCCACTCACTGTATATTTATCAAGTGAGCACAAGTATCCAGCCATAGAACCTTAATATTTTTGTTCATATTCATGAATGGTTCTGCTTATATACAAGATAAATGCTCTTGGAAGGCAGGTTTTTATTTTGAGGAAAATACAGAACTTTAAAAATACAGTATATTGAATTTTGAGAGAAGTTCAATTATATATAATGTATACTGTATAAATTGCAATATAAATTGTCCTGGTTAATCCACACAATAAGGGATTATTTACTTTTTAAGATAAAACATAAAAATAGAGGAAACGTAATTTTTGATAATTAATTTTTTATAATTTAATAAATGCTTCATTAGGATTAGATTAGGTTTTGGCTTGAAGTACTAAGAATTATGTGACTTTTCCTTACTAGACATTAATAAACACAAAATCTTAAAAAGCAGTAATAAATGACTAACATTAGGTAGGTTATTCTTCTACATATTCATCAGAGAAATAACCTTTCTTACCTTTTTAGAATCCTTAGTATTAAGTGTCATAAGCAATAATATAATGTAGAATAAGTAAATAAGAAATTATTTAATTAAACTAGTTAAGGAACACTTCTTAAAGCTTTCTTTCCTTCTGAGGAAAAGCTTCACTCTTTATGAACTTCACAAAAAACTGTCAAAGGATTTTTGTTGTTGTAGCTTGCAGATTACATAATACAAACAAGGAAAAAACAAATTCCAATAAAATAAAACCACAAAACATTGCTTGCTCTTCACAACAAGTTCATCTTTCCTACTTGGTGTTTTTCTTATTCTCAAACTGCATTTTCCTGTTTCAAGTAGGAACTTGCCTTTTGGCAACACTGATACTTGACAGAGTTTAATACCCGTCAAGAAAAATAAGCTCCCTCCACAAGAGTAAGCATAAACATATGACACACAAATGTAATATACAGCACCCACAATTTTTTTTAGTGTTCTTCTAAGGCATTCTGTGGTGTCAGTCTTATAATGTTTCACTATTTATAAGGGTTTCATTAAAGCTGTGTATTTCAGTAGAAATTCAAGCATCACCACAGCAAATAGTTAATATCAGGTCAGGATTGTTTGGAATTCACGCTAGTAGCAGTATGTTGCAGAAAGCAAAAGAGATCAAATGTAAGGTAGTTATGCAATATAGAGCAGCTCATTCATTTTAAGAAATGATGTGACAGGTGGAAACATGATATAGACAGAATAGCCTGAAGTAATAATCTCTCACATCCTTTACTCCAAATCAGTCTTGGAGCCTAGAGGAAGAAGACCAATAGAGAAGTACAGTATGGATCTTCAGTGAGGGTCCCATGTCTAACACAGCTCATTTGATGCTGAGGTTGTGATGTCACCCCCTTGGTTCCTGTATAGTGTTGAATTGTCCCACAGCAGGAGGACAATTCAGCACTACACAGGAGAGGCCTGGCCTTCTGGGATTGTTGAATTCCTTGCTGTATGGAGTTCCTGCAGAGAAGAGCTGCATGGTAGCTGATTTTCATGTTCGACAGGGAGGAGAAGACTGCATGGGTGACCCTGTCAGGGCTGTAGCAAAACATACGCTGGTAAACCAGAACAAAAAGCTCAGTCCCAGCCTTTGAACTTGGTCTTTTTATCTAACCAGTCCAAAGGACCTACTGTACACTCAGGGCTCTGTGTGGCACACATTTTACTTTGACATGAACTTGGAACTTGTTTTCCCTAATAATGGAAAATAATAATGGAAAAACAAATGAGAGGAGGCCTTTCAGCTCACATTTCTCGTTTTGTTAAATGAGCTCAAAGTTTCACCTTGTTGATCACTATGTTCAAGTAGTATTGCTTGTGCTCAGGGGGTTTGTCCTCTTCCAATTCCAGTGAAAATAAAAAAAGTATTTTCTGTTCCTTAACCGCTGTGCAAACAGTGCGTCCCACATGCTCTGAGCGTAAATGGTGAAAAAAAGAAATGCCAAGTAAATACGTCAGCTTTGAAGCACTCAGAGTTTACGGCCTTTCTTTTTATAAGGAACCTTATCAAAGCTTAAAACATGAAGTAGTTTTATTGTGTACTGGTATCTGCTGAATGACCACTGATAATTGTTCAAAGAAATCTTGTAAGTTTGACAAACTTCTCATAAACCCACGCCCCACACTCTCCCTCACAAACACCATTCCATTTCTGTCACGCCCCACACTCTCCCTCACAAACAGTGTTGCATTCCCAAACCCACTGTTTCACAATCTCATTCCTAATTGAAGCCATCACATTCCCACATGCACTAGATTCCACACATTCTCACTCCTGTATCAATAATCCAACCACATCCCTTTCCTTTCAGTATTTAAAGTTCCCTCACACACTGACCCATGCTTGCTATTGAGAGTCCTCCAGTAGTATTCTCTTGTGTGTTTCTCTAAGTCTTTTGACTGCTCTCCTGGTACCAAATCTTTGCTCCTGCTTTTTGACCACACCTTTTGGATTTTGTGTTTGGATAGTCTTTTGGATTTCTCTTGTTACTGGACTCATTGCCTCCCTAACTGACCTAGCCCCTGGATTTTGTCTTTTGGATTGTCCCTGTGCCACTCTGCATTCTGTGGGATTCACGGTTACACATGAGGATCCTCCTATTCTACCAGATGGTTTCTTGACAGGATGAGTACAATTAACCTGACAGGTTTTTTTTTTCTTTCAATAACCTACACACACAGCAGTCTATTAGCAAAATGTCAATGCTCTCTATTCAAAATTTAAAATCTTGAGGAATATTTATACAGCATGAAGCTGATAAAATACCTTGAGGTTAAGGCCAGCTGATTTATCTCCTTTTGTTAGGACTTCCTAGGCTACTACTGAGTGATGACACCACATCAGAGGAAAATGACACTGAATTAGTGAAAGGTTAAGAAGATGGACTGTTCAGAGAGCAATGTCAGCACATCTTTTATGTTTGATTTAAAATTAACAAACCCTTAGATACTTATGATTAGAACTGGGTAATTGCGCTTAAAGAGGTACTGTACAAAGAACACAGGGTGGTTGTCCGTAGCCTGTGCTTGTTTTCATCACATATCTAAAGCAAACACATTAAGGGGTATGTGACAATGTAGGGAAAAAATGCATTCATCCCCCTTTTTTACAATGAATGTGAGTTTTAATGAAAAATGATGTATCTGGTGATGGAGAGTCCCTGTTCCAATTGTGAAGCAGAAATGACATGGCACAATCTAATCTGATAGTTGTGTGAAAGAGGAGTTCTTTGGGTTTCTTCTGAAGGTCGTGTCATTTTTCACCATGTAAATGTCACAAGAAAGGGAAGTACACAAATGTGTTGTGTATTAGTCACTCAGAGTAGACAATAAGTTAGACAGAATGAAGACAAACTTCCATTGTATGTCTAGTGATAATGAGTGTAAATTCCATGAACAACAGTATAATTAAACCCTTATCTGAATATCCCACAATAAAATGACAGGATGTAATATACTGTGCTGGGTTTCTATTTAGTGCCAAGGATTTTTTTTTCAGTGGTCCAATGTGTCCGTTTGGGGAAAAGATGAAAAATTCTGAACATCAGAAAGTGCTGTAGCTCTCAAAATATCCTGTCCAATTACAATGAATAGAATTCCCCCTGTTATCTTTTCAGTCATATCTGACAATATTTTGACCTTATAGTTCAGCTTGCACTTTCAGATAAAAAATCAAATGGCTGGGAAATGTAGTTACATTTTGCTGGGTTAATATTTTATTGGATATTAATTTACAAATATAGGTTTTTATTCATTGGATTCCATTACTCAAAATTCTTTTCTTAACAAAGGAGAAATAATGTCAAATTATACACGATAGTTTAAAATCTTTGGGTTAAAATGCTGTGTTGACTAATAAACCATTTTGATTGACTTATGATGTAATGTTTGTTAGAAAGTGCCACACCTGATTAAGATTTACATCACTTTTTTTTATACTTCAGTTTTGTTTATTGATCACTTCAACTATTAGCAGGACAGGTTTCACGAAACCCCTGAGATGTACAGACAGCAGTGGGCAAAGCATCACGTTGGGTTGTAATCTATCTATGGCCAAAACTTTGATTTCCGTGGATTTGTTGTAACAGTCACTGCTCGTGGAAGTATGCAGAGGTCAGAGGTTCGAGGGAAGAACCCAAGTGCAAGGCAAAACGAGCAGGCAGCGGGAAACATGGAAGCAGACCAGCAAGGGAAACGCACTCCAGGAAAGTAATCCGGGAACACAGCTGGGTTCACATCCAGGTACACAAAGAACACAGCCAGCAAGGGGGCAATCGGGAAAGAAAGTCGAGGTTGGAAATCTAAAGCCAACGCAAAGTAGGAAATAGGGGAACCATGGAAAACTCTATAAGAGCACAGACCACTGCCAGATCAGACATTAAATAGCCTGCTCCACCTGAGACAGGGAAGGTCACAATTAACCACAGGTGCAACAGGCCTGATGTGAAAAGGTCTGATTGTGTAGCCACTGTAACCAGCACTGACAC